TAGGTTTCTCCAATAGAGAGTAAATGGATATACAAACCAAACAAACATAAGGGCAATGCACAGTCAATACTGACTGACCTGAATGGTGGTTTTGTAGCTCCTGTTTGAGCCCTTTTTCCCCCCACACTGAACTTTTGCTTATATGTTATGGTTTCCAATTTTGTGCTTTTACAGGTTTTGCTTGTCTCTGTGTATTTTTTGTACTTAAAAAAAATGGCTTGTTTGTTTTATTTGCCTGTTAATGTTTTAAAGACAGTAAAAGTCACGAAGTTAGATTGGTGGAGAGGTGTGGAGATCTAGGAGAAGACGAGGGAGAAGGGAAAACCATGATCAGATTATCTTCTAATACAAACGCATTTATTTTTTTTTTCAATAAAATTTCAACCAAAAAAGTTAAGTATTTATGTTACTTCACCCAAAAATCATACTGAAAAAATAAGAGACAGAAAGAGGAGCTTTCATAGGAAAGAGGGAAAAAAAACCCAAGGCCAAAAGTGTTGAAAATTTTAAACTACATGGTAGAAGAGAATAAAGCTGCCAAATTTCAGAATAAAAATTATTTTAGCTCACAGGATTAAACAGCTAATCAATTACTAAAACAAGTAGAGTAAAGGCAACTTTTTAAAAAAGAAAGGTTTCAAAATTATTTCCAGGGCTATGAAGATGGTTCATTCAGTAAAGTACCTGTGCTAGCATGAAGACCTTACACTCATACATAACTCTTTTGAGTATTGTGGTGTACACCTATGAGGAAGTGGGTACAATGGGGTCCTCACAGCTTGTTGACTGGTCAGTCTAGCTCAACCAGTGAAGTTCCACTCCATGTCATAACAAATAATGTAGAGAGTGACTGAGGAAGAATATGGCATTAAACATGTTTAAACACATGTGGTTGTACACATATGTGTACATATATGATCAAATACACACACATACTTCACACATCAATCTTATTTTCTATTGACCCTCTAATGGCTCCAAAATATAAGGAAATATATCACGAAAGCAAAGAATCCAGGTAATAACTAAGGGGCACCTCAGAATGAGAGGCAGGTAGCCTTCAGAAATGGGCCAGTGAAGTTTGGACAAAGTCCACAAGAAATCAAAATAGTTCTCAGAAGACACACTAAGTCTAGATAAATCTAGGAGATAATCTGGTTAAATTTTATCATGCTAAAAATTACTGTCAAGACAAGATTCAAAATATTCTATTATAGAAGACATAAAATTAAAAGCTGAAAAATTGTTGAGTTATCATTTTTATTATATCCTAATCCTACTTTTCACAAATATTATTGCCATCAAGTTCTATAATATCCATTATGCCTTAGGAATAGAATGAACGAAGTAGCCCTCTCTTTTTCTGGGTTCTTCATCTAAGATACGTTGATCTAAACCTATTGATCCATCATAGATGAAAACAGATTTTAAAACATTTACTCTATACTGTACATGCTCAGACATTTTCCTTATTATTTCCTAAAAATATAGTAGAGCTGTAGGTCTCGCTTCTCCTGGAGTCATTGGCAGCTGGCCTAGGAGGACAAAGGGAGCAAAGTCCAAAATAAGGGATTTTAGACAGCCCGTGAGTACAAACAGAAACAACACATTCAGTGACCAACTTCAGGGAGACAGATCAACTTTAATCTCGGTGAAATGGGGTTATATACTTTGGGAAATGGGGGATAAGGCTATCCAGGGCAGGCAAAGGTCACCGGCTGAAAGCTAAAGTATTGAAATGACTCATTAGCATGGAGAGACATTCCAGGTACCTCAGATGCTTGCTGATCTGGTTCTTATCAGGAGGAAGAAGCTGAACCTGTGATCTCACCAAGGCTATGTGACATCCCACAGGGAAAGGTGGGGGTGGGGGTTCAAGCTTCCTAGACAAGGTCAGAGAAGCAGAAGCCCTGCTGGTAAAGGGAGTCCCCCATTTTGTGCCTCCACATATAAAAAAAGATTTCCAGTGTATTAGCCATTATCTGTATTCCAGAAGCAATTTAAAGTATACAGAGGGATGTCTGTTGGTTGGACACAGAAACCACAGTAATTTTGATTTGACTTGAACATGACTAGATTTTGCTAATACAAAGATGGTAATCCATGGAGTCTATTTACCTAACAAACACAAGTCCTGTGTATCTGCAGAATTTTATAAAAAAGCCGAGGATCTTTAACAACATTCTAAAACATGAAATATTTTACTTCAATCTGTGGGTCACGACCCCCAAAGGGATCGACTGACCTTTTCACAGGTGTCACCTAAGACCATAGGAAAACACTGGCATTACAATTCAGGAAAGTAGCAACATTACAGTTACAGAGTAGCAATGAAAATAATATTGTGTTTGAGGGTTGGGGGAATGTCCCCACAACATTTCCCCATGTCAGCCTCCAGAGATCTCTACACCCAGCTCTGCACAGTGCAACTCAATCAGGTAAGGCTGGGACAAGGAGGAACTCATGGAGGTGTCTCCTTAAGCTGCATGCATTGGTTTGAAATCTAGTAGCAATTAAAGAATTGCAGGGTCATCTAGTTTACTTGCCCCCTTTACACATAAGGTAAGATCACCTAAAAAAAAAAAAAGGGAGCAATCCTTTGATTTGACTAACAAAGTAACTCTCAAATTATATAGATATTGAATCATAGATGTGTGGATACATAATAAACTCTCTTACCTGAGTACTGTATTGTGTAATGAAGAGTATTAAACACTAAAACCACCAACCCTGGGAACCTCAGAAGTATTACAGGAAGGTATTTGATAGGCGCCATTCCTCTCTAATGACATCTTAATATATATTTTATAATCAAGTTCTAAATATAAGGGATAGAACACCTATCACTTTCTTTGGAGTTGAACAATTCTAGAGAAATCTTATGTTGCAGACCTTACACCCACACTGTTGGCCACAGTGGAGCTGTAGGTTGAAACATCACGTCCTTCATGAAATGCTCCACTAAGACATGGCTTACTTGCTAGAGAGAATATGTTGATATGGACATTGAAATAATAAATAACTGATGAAAATTCACATTACATGGAAATGATAATCTCTACCCTGTAAAATATTAAAATTGACTTGCACACCAGTATGAAAACTCCCAGGACCTGAAAATCCTAATGATCAGCCAACCCTCTCTACGCTATGAAACCTTTCTGTAAGTGAAATTCCAGGAAACAACAAAATAAAAACTACAACAGCAACAAAAGCAGAACTACCATGTTAAAAAGTGAAGAATGGGACTGCACCTTCCTCCTTGTGGGTCTTCCTCTGCCTGCTTCCCAAAATGCCATGTGTCCCTCCAGAGCAGCACCAGAGCAGTCAGTATAACAAGTGAATCCAAATGTAACTACCTAAAACTAGAACTTAGGCAGGCTGTATATTTAAAAATGAATTCTTTCCTTTCAAGAAATCACAATTTACTATGGTTGAGAAAAGCAGAGAAATAAATGATGAAGAACACTGTTATACTCTAAACATTATTCCTACTTAAAAGGGTAAATAAATGGCTTACTATTCTAATGTTATTTAAAAAAAAAACTTGCACCTCCCTGTTGAGCAAATCAATACTCCATTCATACAAAGATATTTCACACAGTTTCCTCCACCCAGTTTTACCTCAAAAAGCACATCAACAAATGTTCTACATTAGACGAAGCAGGTGACCTGCTGCAGGGGAATAAAACTCCATGAACCATCTCACCAAGAGCTGACAGGATCAAAGTCCCTCAGTTCTTGACTATTATTTTCAAATTGAATGAACTGTACATACATTTTACATGCAATGCTCTAAAACATATAGATAATGTGTTATCATCACAACCAGAACCACTGAAGAGATAGTTTACTATCTTTAATATAAAATAAGACAGTTTAGAAAACACTAACTTTTGTGTTATTTTAGTATAAATTTCAACTTAATAATTATTCTTTCTTAACTAAATAATCAGTTACTACAATTTTTTCTAAAATCATAATTAGAGTAGTAACTGAATAAAAGTCACATGTTTCTTTGAACATTTATCACAGGTGGATAAAGCATTAACCTAAGGAACTCAATAGGCCACATTTGAGGATTCATACCATCTATTAACAAAAGCTTTCTCTATGATTTGTCTCAAATGTTACTATTACATCCAGGACAAAGGAATACTGAACACATTAAAATGTTTATTATTCCATTTTGTAAATATATATCCAAGATGTATTTCCAATACTAATTATAAAATGTATTGTCAATTTTAGAAATAAAATGGACACATGTACCATTTCTAAAATAACCTCTCTATGGAAATATTTTATACATGATGACATTTTTCTGAGGAATATTCCTAGTTACATGTAAAAGAAACTTATAGATTGTGATAATTGGCTATTCACTGCATAACTTAAAAGACTTATAAACAACAATTGAACAATAGAACAACACTAGAATAGAAAAACTTATTTCTAAAATATTACAATTTAACATTTTATATGTTTATTTTAAGCTTAAAACATTTTATTTGTAGGCTTCAAAATATTCTTTAAATTCCAAAAACATGTCCTTATTGTACTTCCCTCAATGAACAGATTACCCATCATCAGCAAGTCTCCTTTCCACCTTCATGACAGAAGGAAAGCAAATCATTCCAGGAACAATCTTGGTTCGTTATGTTTTGGGGTTTTTGTCAAAAGTATTTTCATTGTTGATGATATGATAGAATGCTTAAACTCATAGTTCATATTATTAAACAAAGAAAAAGTAAAAAAATATATATAACAAGAGAAAAATTTTAAAATATTCACTGCAAAGACATTTAAGCCTTTACATAACCAACAATATCACTACATTTTCCTACATCACTGAAAAATAACAATTATACAAGGAAGGTAAATAAAGACTTAATAAGATTACACCATGAATATATTTCTTGAAAAGACATAATAAAATTATTCTATGCAATAAAACAGAATGATAAAATGCCCCCCAAAACAAAAGAAGTTTCACTTACATCCACAGCTCTCTTAATAAAAGGTATCTGTGTGCCACTGTCCAGATCTTCATTAATAATAAGCCTTCTAGCCCACTGACCTGCCCTGACAACACCACTACCATGAATTAAAACCATCAGTTTCTGTGGATTTGTCAAAGCATCCTCACTCATAAAGATAAAACTCTTTGGTTCACTCTCAGTGGCATCTACCTGTAATCAAAAAAAATTAAATAATAAATAAAATGTTTTTGATCAAGCATATACACAATGAGAAAACAACTAATGGCTATTATAAATTATTGAATGGTTATTACAGAATCACTTCTTTTAAAAAACTTACATAAAAGAAAGATAACAAGATCTAGCAATTACATAATAGGTGAACAAGCAACGGAAATATTTTAAATACAAAAACACATAAAAAGGATAATTAAAGCATGTTCCTACATTGTTTGTAGATTTAGTATTGTATCACCACCACCTTACATTAAAATAATTAATTGTAAAAGCGCCCCGTGGTCCAGATACGATCCAACTGTTTTTATCACTCTCTGTGATTTATCACAATCTCATTGAGGTATCATCAATAAATGAAGAAATTACATTTGAACAAACTTAAGTTACAGGCTTACACAGCATATAGTCTATGATTCTATAACTGAAGCAGATTGTACCTATAATAAAAAATAGAAAACCCAAACTACAATATATAAATAACTTAGCCAGAACAGTTATAAACTATGAAAAAAGGAAGGAAACTATCTAACCCTCCAAACACAAGGTGTCCCATGTAAGTGGGCGTTAGAACTGCATTCAGATTGCAAACACAGGCATACAAAACAATAACTTGTACATGCTAACAACTTATTAATGCTTCATTTACATAAGAATTAATTATGCATTTATATCTAGTTAGTACACATATAAAGGTTTATTAATTTTGATTATATATGGCTTTAATTTCAAAGATATTAGAGATGTTAAGGAAGTCCAATTTCTGAACATTTCATTACATATGTACAGCAAGCTCTATGGTACATCAGTAAAGGTCAAGACTCAGAATGGAGGCCTTATACAACCAGGTTAAAGCCAGAATTAACAACTAATAAGTAATGTGTTTTCTACCCACAACTACACATGTAAAATATCACTCTACATGCTGTATACTGTACCAGTTCTTGACTCGAACAACAAAATATGTTCATACAGGTATCAAAGTTAGAACAACACACACACACAATTCTACAAAAATGCTTTAGAATTTAATCTAACATTTTAAAATCTAAATTTTCCCATTCATTCAAAATGCACAGGAATATAAAAATAAAACTAGGTTTAAAACAATATTAGTCTCATTATCTGATGTTGCTATTATGTAAACCGCCCAAGAGCAACTGGTTCAGTAGGAACAGAATGGCTGGAGTTTATGAATAGCTACAACTTTTCAGAGAAGCTTTCCTTGTCTACAAATAACATCTCAAACTCTTCCCCATGAATGTCTAGCCCCTTTCTCTGTCTTGTTCTCCTTCACAACACATACAGCAACCCATCTCTGTGCATTCATTCATAGATAGATAGTAGATGTGCATGCATGTGCATGTGTATGTGCAGGCACGGGAGTGCACGTGTGCATGCATGTGGGTTGTGTGTGTGCATACATGTGTATGCCTGTGTGTGTTTATATATGCATTCATCTCTCTCCACTACAGTGTAAATCTAAGAAGAAATAATGTTTTCTAATTTACATTAGGCAAAATTTTTAGTCTACAACAGAGACTAGAACCTTATAGATACTCAATAAATAAAGAATAAAAAACCTTTGAAATATGTCAATCATACAATTGACAGCGATGTCCTTTAGATACAATGAATTTAAATGATTCAGAACATTAATATCTAGAATACACACAAAAAACTTAAAAATAAATATAAAAAATAATCAAATTGCAAAATGGACTATAGATCTGAATAAAGAGTTCTCAAAAGAAGACATAAAAATGGCTGGTAATTATTTTTTAACATACATCAATGGCTATCAGGGACATGTGAGCTAATACTATCAATTCCATTTTACGCCACTCAGAATGGCAATTATTAAAAAAATAAATAACAAATTATACATATACTGCCTTCTTATTTTTTACACTCCTTCCATTTCCTCTTCTACAATGTTCCCTGAAAATTACAAAGGGTGATATCAATACTCCATTTAGGTCTGAGCAATCATCTGCCACTAATTCTCAAACCTAGGGCATCTATGAGTTTATGCCTTCACTGCCATTCATTACAAAGAGAATCCTCTCTGAGTAAGGCTGAGGGTGATATTTGTCTGAGGGTATGTGTATTTAGAAGGCCATATTAAGCCATGTCAGTTTAGCTACATAGCAGTGGTACACGCCTCCCCATTTCCCAAGGCTTACTACCTGATTTTATATCTATACCTATAGATATACACATACATACACATATATGCATATATACATATATATGCAAACATAAATATATATACATAAACATACATATACACACATATATAAATGTATGGATGGATGAATGGATGAAAACCCAGGCATAGAAAGACAAATGCCACATGCTCTCTTTCACATGAGGATCCTAGCTTTGAATCATCAGATTTATGTGTTTAACTTGGAGGATTTATAGAATGAAGTAAGTGAGGAAGTAGCCACTTGGCTAGGGGATTCTTCAAGGGCAGAGGGGATACTACAAAGTAGAGAGCTAGAATCTCAGGGATAGAAATATTTAACCATGGATGGGCTAGAGGACTGAGGAAATGAAAGAGCAGAGGGAGAATTAAACTAAGTGAAAGCAAATATGAAAACTTGTATGGAAATAAAATTTGATTGGTGTACAAAAGCTTACGAGATAAAAAACAAAAATAAAACAAAAACAAAAAAACAAAAAACAGGGAGGATGCTTTGAACAGCCAGATAGTGTTGTTCACAAAAGCCTAGGGATATTACATAAAATTTCTAGTACCAGATATGAAATACCTCCTTGCGAAAAATTGGTCAGGAAAGTCTTCAGAGACCATGAAAACAATACAGGCCTCTGCCAATTACCCCTCTTAATTACCAACCAGAACTAATTAATAATTCCCTATTGCTGGAGACATGACACCACATTCATTGCAAACTATAGAACAACCAAGGAAGAACTGAATTGAAAGCTTCCTCTCCACTGGCTAGCTTTCAGAATCCTAAAAGGCACGGTGCAAGCTCCTGAGGAAAAATGGCATAAACTATCTTAACCAGATGTATGTCCTATGAATTGAGTGCTAGCCTGCTAGGCAAGATGTTCCTACTAGTGCAATAGTGATGCAACTGTTATTGGAATAACCAAGCAATTTCTTATTGAATTTGAGGTCTCCTTCACAAGAATAAATTCATGTCTGGTATTTTAGAAAATCCAGAGTCTGAGAGGATCTTAAGCCTTGGGAAATGGGGAGGCACGTACTACTGTTGTGTACCTAAACTGACAAGTCCTCATACTGCCTAATAAACACATACCATCAGACAAACACCTCCTTAATCAGAAGAGCATCCCTTTGCAATGAATGACAGTGAAGGCATGAACACAGAGACGCCCTAGGTTTAAGAATTAGTGGCAGCTGATTGCTTAGACCTAAATGGAGCACTTACACCTTTGTAAGTTTCAGGGAATACTGTATAAGAGAAAAGAGAAGGAATATAAGAACCAGAAGAAAAAGCAAAAAGCACTACTTCTAGAACACAGCCATGACAACAATAATCCTATTCTCAGCTAAAGGTTTTTCCTCAGAACTTAAACAAGCAGGGCATGTTAATCAATCATGTGTTGAGGTGGAGGTTAATGAGGCCCTATCCCCACCTATAAAACTATGGAGTCCAGGTGGATTAGAGAGAGAAGCAGCCACTATCTTCAGTTGGGTACACACAAGGGAGCCCAACAGCATCTGATGGACTGCTCTAAACTAAGGGTCACAAGGAAGTCACTTATTAATCCAAGTTCCCGAAGAGTACAATTGTCCTGTTTGTCTAAGATAGGGTTGTGTGGAGTTAGGCTGGCCTCAAGCATGCCAGAGAATAGAGGATGATGCTGAACACCTCATCCCCTGGCTCCAGTGCAGTGTGCCAACATAACAAGCATGACCATGGCCAGGTCTCAGGGAGCATTTCAAGCAATGGAAAATCACTCATTTGAATTCAAGAACAATCTCTTTAATACTAGAAGAATAATTATTTTCAAAAAAGTAAAAAATGCTATAATTCTATTTGAGAATTTTTATGAGACTAAAGATAGAAGCAGTCATGAATAAGCTTGAATTGCGCAGTTGAACATCACTGAAACCTGTGAAATTCAGAGTATACAATGAAAGATGACACTGATGACGAGGAATGTATAAGGAAGTATGACTGAAGAAACAAGAAGAGCACTATGTGTACAAATCATTGGGGAGAACTGACCAGAGTAAAGCAGAAAAGTGACTCTGAATGTGGTAAATACAACTTGCTCTGTATAAGATAGTGCTAAATTTATATTGCAAAATTTCTATATAAACAAAAGTGTTTCCTTACTACCTCAATAAACTTTGGAAATGACTACAAGGATGTTTATCTCAAATATTGGCAAGCAGTTGAGCTAAGCCTTTTAAAAACAAAAAACAAAGGCCATTCTAATACAGTCCAATTTACATGCCATTAGATCACTGGACTGCACCAAATAATGTATAGCACTTAGCAGTTTACTATGGAATACTTGTGAACCCCAAAAAGTGATGTTTCACTTAAACAGAATGTATATAATAAACAAAACTGAAATGTAGAGAAATGATTAGTCTAAGTCACATCTCGAATACTCTCGTGGACAGGAATGCAGCAACTGAGAATATTCAGACTTAAGACCCTGAGCTTATGCAGAACATGAGCGCGCTCGTGACACTGACTGTTGCTTTTTCTTCCCTGAAGGCTGCCATATTAAAGTGACATTAGGGTCCCTCTACTGAAGCTATGAAACTAAATTTAGTTCAGTAACAAGGGGAAAAGGTTGGTAACATTCTTTCAGTAGAAAAGTACTAATTCGTACTTAAGAGAAAACAAGAGAGAATTGTTTTTTTCTTTAATTTTTTTATTGGATGTTTTATTTACATTTCATGTGTTGTCCCCTTACCACATCCACCACCCACCCGAAAACCCCCTATCCCCTTACCCCTC